ACTGTAGGTCTAAATAGTAATCAGAGGACAAAGCAACATTTAATAGTTTGTGTTAAATTGTTGCATGATTCAACAGTGCTACACTCTGAATATATGCTTCACAAGCTAATCTCTGCTAACCAGTTCAATAACAGTGATTACATGGACTTTATAAGATTATTTTAATTTTAAACTGTTACATTATGTTCTGCTCAGATCACATTGAGCTAAATAAGATCAAATCTGCTGACTTGTGCTGTAAAATGAGACGTTTTCCTGTTTATCTTCTGTTAATAAATCCATAACACAAACAGCTTTTCTGACATTATTTAAAACATTAGATTATATAAACTGTAAAATATTAATAATAATTGGATTAATATTATTATTAATAGTTTTAATGATTTCTACATCCTCAGTCCTTTTTTTCAGCTCTGTCACCAACATGTACAGTAATGGGAAATCCAGAGTCTTGCCCGTTTAGCTTTAGCCGTTAGCTTCACCAGCCGATCACACGGTCACCTGGTTTTTGCACACTCCAGTTCTATAGAACCTCCTTGGTTTTTGCTAATCTGGACAAAACACTGACCACAGATACAGGAAACTAGGTGACCTGAGAGAAATGTCCTAATAAAACCTGTTTTTCTTTTTTCGAAGATGAAACATGAAAGCTCACCTCAGCCTCCTTCTCCTGGAGAATCATGTCCTTGTCCATTTCCTCAGGCTCCGGTCCTTTTCTGCACCAGTGACACACATTCAGTTATTATTAAGGTTACAGCTCACTAAACTAGCAGTTTCTGTTCTCCTGAGGAGAAACCAGAGAGGTTAAGACATGATTCAGAACGGGGTCTGCATTAGTCACAGCTGGACCATATTAGGCAGCGTGAGACAAACAGGACAAAAGCCACGCTAAGAAAAGGGGTCAGTGGGTTAGTTGTTACTGCAGAGAAATGGGCCTCTACACTGAAGAAATGAAAGCAGGAATATTCATGAGGCAGCGGTTAGAGCGAAGGTCAGCCTCCCCCAAATACCAAAAACCAAAACAAAACAGTACCTCCAACAGGAAACTCATGGGACCAGATAAACCGGGACCAGACCGCCATTGAGGGACTGATGGCGAGGCAACGAGGTCGTACTAAAACCAAAACTAAAACACTTTGTTTTTGTCGAGACAGAGTAAGATCAAAATAAAATGAAACTATGTTACATGAGACACATTAATCCTGTTTCTAAGCTCTACAGAAGCTCCAGTTACACATGCTTTTTATCAGCTAACACTAGCACTAATACAACATGCAAAATATCTACTGATACGAGTTTATCTACGAGTCTAAAGAAATGAAAGGAGAATCTGTCAAACTAACAAAAACATCCTGATGTTAAACCAGGATTCTGCCTGTCAGATCTAAGTGAGGAGTTTAGCATCCATGATGTACTTTCATCAAAATGATGTTCTGAAGCGTAGGGGGAGGAGCTGAAAAAGCAAGCGGACAGGTGAGTACGTACGCAGGAGACAGAGGCAGAATGTAACCATGGGAGGACAACCTGCCACCCCGTTTCAGGCGGTCTGAGCGGAAGTTCTCATAGTGCAGGTCCTGGGTTACTTCCTGTAGATCCTGCATGTGGGTTCTATGGAAACACAAGTCAGAGTCAGGCTCCACTTTTACCCAAACAGAGAAATAAAAGATTACATTTAGATCACGGAGGTGTTTTCATCTTTARACGTAGATCTATAACAAATTAAAACTTCACATTAAAAGATCAACTTGAATGTCACCATGAATATATTTAATGTTCCTATTTGTCGTTTGTTTTCCTGTTTATTGTTTGGTTTTTCTTGTATTCATTTTATTCATTCATAAATCAAGATGTTCAGCTCCAAGACTTCTGGTTCAAAATTTTGAAAAGTCTAAATTCAAAATATTTCACCTCTTTTCAAAATAAAATTCTTTTAAAACAAGCTGAAAATGGATTTCAAAACACTGACCTCTCAGTTTTCGATATATTTGTTTAGCTACTGTTTTGGTAGCTTAGCCTTTAGCCACTGTGTTGTTACTTTTAGCTTTAGCTACAGATTAGCTMCTATCAGATATTACCTACTATGTTGCTAGTTGAAGCTACTGTTTTGACATTTTTAGCTTTAGTAATTGTTTTGCAACTGTTTACTATTCTTTTGTTTTTAATCATGTTTTGCTGTATTTTTCATACTTTTAGCATCAGTTTTAAATACTTCATAGCCGTCATATTTTGTTTATTTTAGCTAATCTATGGTTTATTAATTTTAGATGGTGATTTCTAAATTATAGCATCTGCTTTGTTATCTTAAGTTTCCTTTTTTTGTCTATACTAATCTTAGAATTGGTTTAGCTAATTTCAGCTTTAGTCTGTTCTGATTATTTTAGCTTGTGATTTGTTGTTTTTAGCTAGTGTTTTGTTGTTTTTACGTTGTGTTTTGTTGTTTTTATCTACTGTTTGGCTGTTTTAGCTACTGTTTTGTTTTTAGTTACTGTTTTTTTAGCTATATTTTGTTGTTTTTWGCTTGTGATTTGTTGTTTTCAGCTACTGTTTTGTTGTTTTTAGCTTGTGTTTTGTTTTGAGCAACACTTTGTTTTTAGCTTGTGTTTTGAGCAACATTTTGTTGTTTTTAGCTTGTGATTTGTTGTTTTTAGCTACATGTAGTTGTTTTTAGCTACATTTTGTTGTTTTTAGATAGTGTTTTGTTGTTTTTTGCTTGTGATTTGTTGTTTTTAGCTACATGTAGTTGTTTTTAGCTACATGTAGTTGTTTTTAGCTACATGTAGTTGTTTTTAGCTACTGTTTTGTTGTTTTTAGCTTGTGATTTTTTGTTTTTAGCTACTTTTTTGTTGTTTATAGCTTGTGTTTTGTTGTTTTTTTGGTACTGTTTTGTTGTTTTTAGCTTGTGTTTTATTGTTTTTAGCAACATTTTGTTGTTTTTAGCTTGTGTTTTGTTGTTTTTTGCTACTGTTTTGTTGTTTTTAGCTACTTTTTGTTGATTTTAGCTACTTTTTTGTTGATTTTGGCTTGTGTTTTGTTGTTTTCAGCTACATTTTGTTGTTTTTAGCTTACTTTTTGTTGTTTTTTGCTACTGTTTTGCTGTTTTTACTTACTCTTTGGCTGTTTTTAGCTTGTGTTTTGTTGTTTTTAGCTACATTTTGTTGATTTAAGCTTGTGATTTATTGTTTTTAGCTTGTGTTTTGTTGTTTTTAGCTACTGTTTTGCTGTTTTTACTTACTCTTTGGCTGTTTATAGCTACTGTTTTGCTGTTTTCAGCTTGTGTTCTGATCATTGCAGCCTCTGTTGTGCTTGTTTTAACTTTAACAACTCAGTTTTAGCTTCTTCAGCTAATTACTCAGTGTTTCTTTTGCAGAAAATGAAACTTCTCTAGTTATAGTTTTACTGTTCAACATGAAATTTTTTAAATGATGCAAAAATGGTTGATTAAAACCTTTTTTGGATTTCGTTTTTGGCGGTACATCCAAAGTTTTAAAGCAACACCGTATGTTGAAACCAATGTAATAGTTGGATTTTCTTTTAATTTCTGGACATGTTTCAGTTTTTTTATTTTTTTAACATCATATTTGTGTTACAATATGTGCTGCTCAGTCAGACATGTTTAAGAGAAACTGATTAAAACTACTGTACATCGCAGCTCCCACTACTTTACAATAAAAAGTTATGTTACTATGAAAAAGCAAACAGGAAGTTGAAACTTCTTCGCTGTGTTCATATTTGAACTCCATCAGAGTTTAGTTACCAGCGGATTGTTCTACCACTCACATCAGCATGGTCCGCAGCTTGAGGAAGTCGTTGTGTTCTGGGTTCTCCACTTCCACCACACCCCACGGGTACAGACGACCTCTGACCTTCTTCCCTTTGGCTTCGATCTGCTGGTTGGATCCCACTACAGCAAACGGGATGCTAGCCTGGTTAAGAGAGGGATAAGTTCCTGTTAATGCTGTAGTAGTTCACTCACTGAAAATATACAATTAGGACACTTTGAAAGCCCTATATATGTAATAAATTATTTTTTTATAATCAATAGGAAGATGTTACCTTGAGAATTCTGGTCTGCTCCTTGAAGTCTTCATCTTCGTCTGACTCAGCATCAGGAAGGTGATAGATCTTAATACCATGCTCATCAATCTCATCAAGAATCTGACCATGAAGGTGATAAAACCAGCAGTTAGGAGAGCTCAGTGAGGAACCAATCTTTAAATCAAAGCATTCAGACAGCAGCACTGTGTGCAGATGTGAGAGTGGTCACACGGTGCTTCAGCCACATTCTGAGGCAGGAACAGGAAAAACAGGTAAATTGTGTGGCTGCCCACCCGGCGCTTCAGCCTCTCCCTCTCCCTGAGGGTAAGCGTGTCAGCCTTGGCGATGACAGGAACCACGTTGACCTTGTTGTGGATGGCCTTCATGAATTGGACATCCAGAGGTTTCAGGCTGGTTGGTCCAAAAAGAGGAAACAAAAAGAAAAATGTGGTCGTTTTAACTCTGAAGACCTTTTGACACTAAAACGGTTATGGTGTTTGTGAACGGGGGGGACACACCCYTGGCCAAGAGGGGAGATGAAATAGAAGCAGCAGTGAACTCTGTTGTCGACAATGTGTCTACGATTCAGGCCACTTTCATCGTGGAGGTAGCGCTCAAACTGGTCGTCAATGTAGCTGATGATGGTGCTGAAACTGGAAGGAAAGTAAAAGACGTAAACATGAAGCTCAAAACACAACATGTAAACACCAAAACTAAAGAAAAATGATCTCCTGGTAAGGTCTGATAAAAAAACAATCTGTGCTCCTTTATTTGTAATTGTTAGAAATGAAGTTTGTATATTTAAAGGGATCCCTGATTAGTTGAAACATTAGGCTTTATTTGATAAACATACTGTATATTTTAACTGTAAAATAAAGACTGTAAAAATAC